AGCATCCCTGGGTTCGATTCCTGGTACTAAAAATAATAATAAATATAAATATCTCCCCCAAGTCCAAAGAGCTCCATTTTATGTACACTTCCCCTATTCTACCAACTTGGTCCTCATGGGCCTAGTGTCCTAATCCCATGTAACACTGAGAAAGTCCAAGCCGGGGTGGGTGTTCTGGCTTTGTCTTTAGAGTGAGCGTGCAGAATGTCCCACTCGCCCCACTCACCAATGAGTCAGCAGACAGGTCTTGGCACCTTTCCTTCTGGTGATCAGTCACATTCCCTCCAAAGGTTTTCATAGATAAAGACAGCTTCTCCTGGATTCCACTCCTTATCTCTTGGCCACACCTTTAAATAAGAGCACCGGGAAGTGTGTTTGAAAACACAGTCTCTTCAATCAGCCAATCTTTGACCCACTTGCTAATTTAAACACATTCTAGGGAAATATTAGTGGACTAGAATACTGTTTTCTGCTGGGCTGTTTGTTTTCTTCTTCTTCTTCTTCTTCTTCTCCTCCTCCTCCTCCTCCTCCTCCTCCTTCTTCTTCTTCTTCTTCTTTTTAATGATGTCCCTGTTTCCATAATTCCTAAGAATTATTCATACAGCACCCAGTGAGGAGTTTATCTTTGTTTTTGTGGTACTGGAGATTGAACCCAGGAGTGCTCTGCTACTGAGATACATCCCCAGCTCTTTTTTTTTTTTTTTTTTTTTTTGAGATGGGGTCTCACTATGTTGCTGAAACTAACCTGGAATTTGCAATCCTCTTCCCTCAGCTTCCTGAGTAGCTGGGATTATAGGCATGCACCACCAGACTCTGCTGGGCTATTTAAAAAGATTCAGCAAAGATAAAATTTTTAAACCAAAATCTAAATCTGAAAAATCACACAGACTTTGAGATGGTGGTGCATGAAGCTCCTTTAAACACCTGGGCCAACCCCCTCAATGTGCAGATGAATAAACAAATCAAAAAAGAGGAACAGCATCAAGGACCCGTCCACATCAGTGGGGCAGATGCAGAAGTGAAAGCTGGTTTTAACTACCTCTGCTCCATTGTTCTGCCATTCAACATGTTATTTTAATAAATGTTTATTGATCAACCCAGGCTAAGTAAGAATGGAACATTCTATGCAAATAAAAAACTACTATATCTCCCCTAGGAAGTTTAAGAAAATAAACTGACATCTTCAAACATCAGTACCACACCTGGCATAGTGGCGCACACATGTAATCCCAGCAGCTCCGGAGGCTGAGACAGGAGGATCACAAGTTCAAAGCCAGCTTCAGCAAAAGCGAGGGGCTAAGCAATTCAATGAGACCCTGTCTAAAATACAAAATAGGGCTGGGGATGTGGCTCAGTGGTTGAGTGCCCCTGGGTTCAATCCCCGGTACCAAAAAAAAAAAAAAAAAATTAGAAGCATAGCAGGTCCCAGTGTGATTTATATACACCCTTCAGATGTCACTAACATTAATTAAGAGGACCAGGGTTCTGAAGTTGTATACAAGGATGTTAGGAGTGACCAGTTCCTATTCAGGCTGCTAGAAGGCACTACCTTGTGTACTACAGAATGTTTCCTTAGAGAATTAAGAGATTGTGGGGCCTCCTCAGCCCTGGAACCAAAACCATGTTCACTGTCCACTTAAAGACATTGAAGATAACATCACATTTGTTTCTGGATTAAGATGCTCACTTTTAACCAGTGTGCCCTGCTGTATTATTTATCATCATATGCAGATAAGGCATTTCCTCCATATCCATCTTTGGAAGAAAATGGGTCAAAGAGATTTAATAGCATTAGGATTTTACTACATAAGTTTAGGATAGTTTTTTAAAAAATATTATTTACTTATTTTGATAAGGAGGATTGAGCCCAGGGGCACTTTAACACTGAGTTATATCCCCAGCTCTTTTTTTTATTTTGAGATAGGGCCTCAATAAATTGCTGAGGGTCTCATAAGTTGCTGAGGCTGGTCTCAAACTTGTAATTCTCCTGACTCAGCCTCCAGAGTGCTGGAATACCATGGTGCTAGGCTAGGATAGTTTTTTAAAGGACACCCAAAGAGTACACTCCCAAACCAAGACCTGGGCACCAAGCTGAGTTGCAGCCACTTGTGAGATGTGCACTGTTCTGTCAAAACCTTTATTAAAGCCTTGGGATGGTGGTGGCATTGTTTTTAATACTTGAAGTTACTACTCTCCATCTCCTGGGCCCTTTCCCCATCTCTGGTTTTGTTTTTGTTGTTTTTCCCTGTGTACCGTCTTCATTATAATACTAGTGTACAGTGAATCCTACTCTCAAAACCAAGATCCCAGGCCTGGCTTACTGTCACATCCTACTGCCAACCTTGACCTTAACCCATCCAGGTCCTCATTTCTTCCTATAAAAAGGAAAGCAGACAGGAAAACACTGCTATAATCTTTAAAATTCACTTTTTATTACCAGAGAAAATGGATAAAATAATTAAAGTATAACAGGAAAAATAAATAAAGAAAAAAGTAAAAGTCTTTCCCAACCTTTTGTCCCAATGATATAACAATATTAATTTTGGTATAATTGGTATATTCTTTTTTGTTGTTTTTCTTTTCTTTTCTTTCCATATTAGGAATGGACACAGGGTCTCACATGTGCTAGGTGAGTACTCTACCACTGCATTACATTCCCAGACCCTTTTTAAATTTGGAGACAGGGTCTTGCTAAGGTGCCAAAGCTGGCCTTGAACTCACAGTTCCCCTGACTCACGGCAGTGGAATTACAGGCATGCAACCACTGCGCTCAGTCTCCCATAATTTTAAGGCCAAAACAAACAAAAAAATCAATTACATACACTTAGTCTAGAACTACTTTTCCTTTCGCTTAATCGCAGAGCTTTGTCAGAGAACAAGTAGCATCAGAGTCATGAGAGCAGAGTTGTTTTGTTATGTTTGTTGTTGTTGTTGTTACCAGGGATTGAACTCAGGGGCTCTGAACCACATCTCCAGCCCTTTTTTGCATTTTATTTAGAGACAGGGTCTCACTGAGTTGCTTAGGGCCTTGCTAAGTTGCTGAGACTGACTTTGAACTTGTGATCCTCCTGTCTCAGCTTCCCAAGTAGCTGGGATTACAGTGTGCCGCTGCCCTCTGCTGAGAGCAGAGTTTTGACTGCTTTGGTCACTGCTGTTCTAGATATCATAACAATGCCTGCCCAAGAGTAGTTGCTAATAAATGTTCACTGAATGGACAAATGGACATGCATTCTCCTTCCTATCAGACTAAGTGACATTTCATGAGGCCAGGGATTTGCCTTTTTTGGTCCCCCTCCATGATTCCAGCACCAAACACAGTGCCAGAACATAGTAACCACTTAAAAGTATTTGTTGAATTAACCAAAAACTCAATGAAACTTCCTAGTTCATTTTAACTGTACCATCTAATCAACAATTTTTCTATTGATATAGAAAATCTCTTATGAATACCCTTGCAGTAATCATATTTGTATAATATTCTTGTTTAAAGATTTTTATAGGATAGGAATATCGTTGAGGAGAAACCATTGATCTGGTCTAAATGTGTTCTCATGTTCTTTCTCACTAGAATTTCATGATTTTTAAAAAACACTTGTGTTTAATTTGTCAGCCTGTATGAGAACTGCTGCCTACAATATTAGGTTTGCAAAATGATCTCTCTTACATATCAGCTATAGAAAGCCAGTGCTCTCCAAATCTCTTTATTTATAGCTGAAATACCATCTAATTCACACAATAAGACTGCCAGAAAGACTTGTAAAAAAACAAACAGGCTGCCTGCAGGCTCAGTGATCAACATCTTCTCTGTTCAATCCAGCAGCAATTTCCTCCTCAGCTAGCTGTGGAGGAGTGATTTTCAGTCAGCAACACGTCCATATTGTTGATTCACCCCCCCACACACACACACTCCCAGTATTGGGTATTGAATCTAGGGGAATTCTATTGCTGAGCTACACCCAGCCTTTTAATTTTTTAACACAGGGTCTCACCAAGTTGCCCAGGCTGCCCTTGAACTTGTGATTCTCTTGCCTCAGCCTCCAGAGTCAGGGATGACAGACATATTTCACATTCTTTATGTGCTAAGGAAGGCAGAAAGAGAAAAACATAAAAGAGTAACAAGATCCTGAATAGAAAGAGGATATTGAGAAACAAAGGCCACTTTGGCCAGATAAGAACAGATATGGGAGCTTCAAAGTATTTGTGAATTCTTCAAGAAGTTACAGACTTGTACTCTGTCTGAGCTCTGCAATGGAAAGTCTCTCCAGAAAGTTCCCTTTCTGCATTCTGAAGTTATTTAGCAAGTTTCAGAGTCAGGTAAGAGCCTGGGAGGCAACAATAAACAAGACAAGGATAGTCTCCGCTATCTCGGAATTTAAGTTCAGGGACGACTGTCTTTCCATTAAGGGGTCTGATGCTGACAAGACAGATTGCTGGAAGCCTTTGCCTCCTTTTCACCAGGAAACAGAATCTGTGTCTCAGTCACTAGTTCTTCTTCTGTGAAAATACAGCTCCAGTTCTCTCCATGAATGGAGAAGTTGGGCAGAGATATTTCCCTTTGAGAGTGCAACAAGCAAAACTTGGCCACACACACACACACACACACACTCTCCTCTTTTCCCCATGTTCTCCAGCCACACCACAGGCCTGCTGAGTTGTCTTCTTAACTGAGGCAGAGGTGAGCACTTACCATTGGACAGGCAACATTCAAAAAAGCATAAACTCAGAGGGAAACTTCAAGATCATTCCTTTCTTTTTATTTTTTAGTTATAATTGGACACAATACCTTTATTTTTATGTGGTGCTGAGGATCGAACCCAGCACCTTGCACATGCTAGGTGATCACTCTACCGCTTAGCCACAGCCCCAGCCCCAGCCCCTCCTTTCATATCTTAAGCTTTTTTTTCCTTTTCTTTCTTCTTTTTCTTTTTTTTTTTCAACCTTTTTATTTTTTATTTTGAGATAGTATCTCCATAAGTCACTTAGGGCCTTGCCAAGTTGCTGAAGCTGGCCACCAACTTGGAATCCTCTTGCCTCAATCTCCCAAATTGCTGGGATTACAGGTATGTACCACAACATTTGGCTTATTGTACCTTTTTAAGGATTACAGACCTCCATGAAAATCAGTGCCCCTTTAGACTATCTGTACCGGAGAAGAAAAGCACATGTCTCGACACACAGTATACTCTACATTCTCAGGAGCTTCACAGTCACATCATAAGCCTGAATTTCTTGGAAAGATTTCATATCAAGAATCCCTAATGTGCATAAAAGTACATTTGAAGTCTAATGCCCATGATTGGCAGTCTCTGGGTTGGATACCCCTGTTAGCTGGGATACAGAGGTAATGATGTACAGCAAAGGTCACGGTTGAACCCCAATGTGAGCTAATTATCTCCAGAAAAGAGGAACACTCTTCTTGGTGCCCCTGGACAGAACCTGTAAAACCAGTTAGCTGACACGTCTCAGTTTTGAAAAAAACAACAACACCAAGGTCAAAAATGAAGGTGCTGGATTCAATGGCATAAAAAGGTGAGAACCCAGAGGTGGTCAGTATTGCTGCTCACTGCTGATATAGCAGTAGTCCTCATTCGGGTCCTCCATCTCATATATGTTTTCCTCAATGATGTAGATGTTCTCCTCTGAGCGCATCCTGTCTGCTGCTGCATTTGCCAACCCTGAGGGACGGGGGTTGGCCAACGTGATGAGACTGTGAAAAGAAAAGTGTTGCGGTTGATTTAAGTATTCCACAGGCAACATGGGACAAGGTTACAAGATTAGGCTTTAAGCTGGGTGTGGAGACATGCGCCTGTAATCCCCGCAGCTCAGGAGGCTGAAGACAGGAGGATCGTGAGTTCAAAGCCAGCCTCAGCAATGGCAACTCAGTGATACCCTGTCTCTAAATAAAATACAAAATAGGGCTGGGGATGTGGCTCAGTGGCCAGGTTCCCCTGAGTTCAATTTCTGATATACCAATAATAATAATAATAATAATAATAATAATAATAATAATAAGATTAGGCTTTGCTGAAGAGACATGTATGATCTTTGATTGGATGTCGACTGGGGGAAAAGCCATAAAATAATTCGGGGACTATCTGAGAAAATCTGAATTAACCTCATTTTTCTTAAATAGAAAAACTGCATATCCTTATTCTTAGTGGTCAAAGGCTGAAATGTTTAGGTGAAGTGTCAAGATGTCTACAACTTCCTTACAAATGGCTCAGAAAAACCACTGTACATATCGAGAAATGGACAAAGCCAGAATGTGCAGCATGCCACATGTGAATTCAGGTGGAGGTTCTGTTGTTCCTTGCACTGTCATTCCAATTTTTCTGTTAGCTTGAACAATTTCAAAAGGAAAAATAAATGGAAACAATTATGTTGCAGATCCAATCAGACTAGAGTTCAAATTCTCTGATACATGCTAGCTTTAAGATTTGCATAAATCTTTTTTGTTGTTGTTGTTTTGGTTTTGGTGGTGGTTGTTGTTTGAGTACCAGGGATTGAACCCAGGGGCTATCAACTACTGAGCCACATTCCCAGCCCTTTCCATATATATATATATATATATATATATATATATATTTTTTTTTTTTTTTTNAGCCACATTCCCAGCCCTTTCCATATATATATATATATATATATATATATATATATTTTTTTTTTTTTTTTTTGTGACAGGGTCCCACTAAGTTGCTTAGAGCCTCACTAAATTGCTAAGGCTGGCCTTGAACTTGCAATCCTTCTGCCTCAGCCTCCTGCGTTGCTAGAATTACAGGCGTACACTATGTTTTGTTTGCATTCAAGAAATAATTAGTATGTTACACACTGTTCTATGTGACTAGAGAGATAGAATTGAATGGAACACAAAAATCCCATAGAGGTTAAGTGTTAGTAAACTTTGTGTTTTAGTATCCTTGTCTGTAATATGGAAATAATGTGAGACCTGCCTCACAGGTCAACCATGAAAAATACTAATTTATTCCATCATTAATATTGATTGTTAATAGGATCAGGCACTGTTCTGGGGATACAGTCATTAATATGGCAGACAMGTTCCTAATTTTCTGTGGAGTTTACAATTTGTAGGCAGGGATGAACATTAATCATATAATTTCACAAATGATGAATTAATCCCTATCAATGTTACCTCTGAATAATAATCATATTTCCCAATTTCTGCTTTAATGAAGAACACTAATCATTGAATATTTTACTTGTTACTTTATTTGACTTTTTATTACATGTTATTTTGTCTTTATAATATACCACATTTATCTTAGTCTAAAATGATCAGTGATTTAGATAGTATTTAATGGACAGTCATTTGTTTCTCAAAATACATTACATTCTTGTAATGCACCAAATGTTACTAAAACTGGAAAATCTGATAAGGGTGTGACCTATGTCGATCAGGAATGGATGGTGTAAATAGTAAGGAATGATGATGAAGACAGGGACCTGAATTAACTCTCAGCCCTGACTACACAACAGAACCACCCAGAGAGCTTTTAGAGAAACACCTGCTCAGTCCTCATCATCAAAATTCCAATTCAGTTGCTACAGGGCTGGTCCTGCATCAGTTGGCTTAAGTGCCCTGGAGATCCTATACATCATCAGCTGAAAAGCCTAAGTGGGGCTATAAAAACCCTGAAAACAGATTGGTTTTCCTGTTCACTTTGGTTACCTCAGTGTCCAGCCCTGACCCCCCTGGATATAGTAAGTGCTCAATAAGTTGAGGTTTCAGATCACTGAAAAAAAAAATCCCCATTAATACAGAGATAAATAAGCATTTCTTAATAATAGGGAGATAAATTCTATACCTTAACATTAGAACTAAGGAAGCTAGATGGATCAGGGAGCAAACAGAGCAGCATGTTGAATTTGCATTTCATAATTAGACTTCAGGCAAAAGAAATACAAGCTTAGACCCCCAAAACCCCAGGCCAAACCTTCTCAGGGCAAAAATCAAAGCTATATTAGGGTAGGGGGCCGCTCAGATTCTCCTTCTCCCATTCCTATTCTTACCTTGAATTCTGTAATTTCTTTTTCCTATGAGAATACCCTAGGTAAAGAGGAAAGTAAAATGAATAAATGTGCTTAGGTAAAATAAATAAGAAATAAAATGGGCTCACTGCGGGTAATTGTTGTTTAGGGAAATCTGGTCTCTGCTTAGAAGAAACTAAATCAAACTCCCCATGTGTGTCTTAGTTTATTCTATGTACTAGGCTAGAAAATAAAGAAGATGCATTTTCTTATTTAACAAATACCACGAGGCCTTTTCTAAGTGTCTGGCAATTTGCACATGGTTGACACAAAGGTGAATTGTGAGTCCTAACTTCACGAAGCTTGCATGAGAGAAACAAGAAAAAAGAGAAGAAAGCAGATAGGGTAGAAGGAAAAGAAAAGAGTAAGTAAGTAGAAAAATGAAATAATTTCAAAGTGTGATGTATGAGAGAAATCAAAACCACACTGAAACAGAGAATAGGGCAACACTCTCAGAAACTACCATTAAGTTCAGCTCTGAAAGAAAAGAATGAGTCAGCTGTGTCAAGAGCCTCGGGGAGCCTTCCAAGAAGAGAGAAGCCCTAGGAAAGATCTTGGTGATTCTCTGAAACCAAAAAGTGGCTAAGAGAACGAACAGCCCCAGGTGAAAGCTGAGGAGTAAGCTGTGGCTAGGGGCCACAGGACTTTTCCATCGTGATAAGGAGTTAGAGTTTTATTTTAAGACCTATAGGAAATCACTGAAGGACAGAGATATGGTCTGTTTTGGTGTTAATATCACTGTCAGCTATGTGGAGGAAGGAGGGAGAGGAACAAAGAAATGGGAAGAAAGTAGAGATGGCAGTGCCTTATAGTAAGGTGGTGGCCAAAACATGCAGAATGAGGGATTTTAAATATATTTTGGAGAAAGACTTCAGGAACTGAAGTTGGACTGCATCTTAAGAGGTAGGAATGGGGGCAGGATAACTTCTGCATTTCTGGCTTAAACAACGAGACAGACAATGGTAAAATATGATGGAGAAGACCAGAGAAGGAAGGTCGAATAATATAGAATTGGAAGCTCCATTTTGGACATGTTAAATGTGTGAAATATCCAAGTGGAGCTATTGACTGGGCAATTAGACAAGGAATAGTTACACTTCAAGAGCTGACAAGAGTCAGGCATGGCAGCTCACGCCTATAATCCCAGCTACTCAGGAGGCTGAGGAAGGAGGATCACAAGTTCAAGCCTCAGCAACTTAGGGAGACCCTGTCTCAAAATAAAAAATAAAAAGGGCTGGGATGGGGTTGGGGTTGTGGCTCAGTGGCAGAGCACTTGCCTAGCACATGTGAGGCACTGGGTTCGATCCTCAGCACCACATAAAAATAAATAAATAAAATTTTTAAAAAAGGGATGGGATGTCTCTCAGTGGTAGAGCACCCCTGGGTTCAATAATTCACAGCACTGAAAAAAAAGTCTTCTTAATTAATGATATGCAGAAAAGATACTAGAATCAGCCTGCCTGAATTTAAATCCCAGCTCTGAAACTTGCTAATGGTGATGATGATAAAATGTATGTGAAACATTTGACACAGGACCTGCCTGACATGTGGTAATCACTGAATAATTATTAGCTATTATTATTGTGAGGGTTTAGAAGTATAGTGGGTATTTAGCCTACCTAATCACCTTTAGGTACAAAGTTTTATATATATATATATATATATATATATATATAAATTGGAATTATTGGAAAACCTATACACACACACACACACACATATACACACACACACACACACACACACACACACACACACACTGGGGATTCAACCCAGGGGCACTTTACCACTGAGCCACATCCCCAGCCCTTTTTATTTTAAAATTTGAGACAGGGTCTCACTAAGTTGCTTAGGGTCTCCCTAAGTTGCTGAGGCTGGCCTCTAATCCTCCTGCTTCAGCCTCTGGAGTTGCTGGGATTACAGGCGTGAGCTACCATGCCCAGCACAAAGTCATATTTCTATCTCGGTTTGTTCTCATTCCAACATTTCCAGTTCCTATCGGAGGGAAAGACAAACCATGTCCAACAACTTACATTTGAGAATTAAAGCACTAAAGATAAGCATAACAGCCAACCCAGCAGAGATTCCTACTCCAATATAGAGGCCTCTTCTGGTGGTTGCTCCAAAGCTTTGGAACTCATCAGCAAATGTGGATATCTGCTATGCAAACACAAAACAGGATTTAAGATGCAAATGTTCAAAAATTAGCTGTGTACTCAGCTAATACCAAGATATGGAGTCAGACCATCCCTTTCACAGCATCACAGTATGGAAGGGACTTTAAAACTACCCCTGATCTGTCTCCTTTTAGACAAGCCTCAAACCATGAAAGAAATTGATTAGTTTAATTATTGGAGTTAACAAAGAAATGGAGTATTCTCTTCTGTACTGTGGTTGTAGAAAGAGCTCTTAATAAATGGATCTCTCCCCACACTCCAAAAAATGGGCTTTTGAGTGGAGTCCTGTTCTTTTAGCATGCCCTGTGTCCCCCCAGAAAGTTTCAGAGTGGTCCACATTGGATGCCTTGCAGTGAAACCCCTATTTTCCCGGAAATAATGTGACAAAAGAACCAGGACTTGGCAATCAAACAGGGCTGGATTCAAATCTCAGTGTTAAGTGAACTTCCAGAATTTTTGGAAAACCTAAGTTTATATAATATAAAATGCTTAGCACAGGGCCTGAAACATGGTAAATGTTCAATCAATGGTAGACATTATTGCTACTTCTCTAATTAATTTATGTTTATGATAATCGAGAGACATAAAAAATCCTCCTATTTCAAAAATTTCAGTCCATGTCTTCCTTTAAAACCAGTAGTAGTGGGGACTTTTAAAACAATTGGGGAAGAGTTAAACCTTTCATTTATTCAATAAACATGTACACATATATTCAATGCACATTATTTCTGCAGCAGCTGGACTGTGCCTGCAAAGTATTGTGCAGTAAGCACTGTGGTCCACACAGAGGTACTCAAAAGGCAGTCCTTGATTGCAAAGAGGGAGGGACAAAAATGGGATGCTGAGGGCCAGATGTGAACATACAGGTAGGAGATTCAGTCAAAGCAACACAGACTCCCAGATGTGCCCTCAAAGAATTTTTAAATCACCACTACAAGCTTGATTTCTTGTGATTTTTCTTTCACTCTGGAAATGTGGGGAACACTAAAACTATGGTAAAATCAAGTATTACTTTATGCTTAAATGACATAAATTCTTGGCTTTGAATATTCTGGATTGACGTTCTGTCAATATAAATGAACAAATTTCAGAATCAACCTTTTGCCTGGAATATAAGGGAAGCAAGAAGAAGTGTATTGGAAGAAGCTGGAAAGTCTTAGAAACTTCCACAGTGGTAACAACTGTAAAATTTGAGAAGAGGGACAACACGCTAATGTTTCTTCTTTTTGGTTTGTCATCATCAACACATTACAGACAAGCTAAGGGGGGTAAGCCTCCTCCATCCTAAGGAAATGGTAAGTGAGAAGACGTCTAAAGCCAGATTTTCTTTATGCAGTTGAGATTGTTAGCACACACACACAAAAATTACTTACTGTTTGATTTTTATCATGGAAGGTCCCCAGGGTCTGTGTCTCCACTACACAAGCACAAACACACACAAATGAGGGAAGATAGTCAATAGTTACAATTTTTTTTGTATCAGAAAAAGCTGAATGATGTCTATAATCCTACTTAAAACTAATTCTTCCCCATCGTCTTCACAATACTAATTGAGAGACAACAGAATTTACTGATTGCTTACAAATCAACTTCGGATGACCAGGAACATTCATCTAGATAATGAACCCTACCTATTTCTATTTTCCTGCAATACAGATTTTTGTCAGGAAGACTTATATTGAATATGGAGCTTGTTTTTATCCACAGGGCTTTAGTGGCTTCTACAAAAATTCAATAGCAAAGATGACAGTCATTATATTCTAAGTAGACTTTGAAAGAAATGAAAAAAATCCATTTTCTAGAAAAAGTTTAACATTTATTCATTAGGAGGGAGACAGAGTATTCGGTTACCTTCAAATGGAAATAAGAGCTCTAGCTACAATTTACCAGGACCCAGGCATTGTGCAAAACTCTTAATGAAGTATCTCACTTAGCATTCGAAATAAGGATCCTAAAGTGTCAGGACTGTTAGTCCCCTTAGACAGATGAAGCTACTGAGGATTAGGGAAGTTAAGTGACTTTCCAAGGTCACAGAGTTTAGTGAATGATAGAAATGACCTTCCAATTTAGGTCCACTTGGTTTCAAGCATACATTCTCTACCATCTACCCTCACAACCTCAAAGACCACGCTGCTCAGCTGTCAACTCACCATCTTTCCTTTTGGTTGATTTGTTTATTTCTTTTATCTGATTAAGTAGTCAAGGAATAATGTATAACTCTGTGCCAGGTTTAGGGGAGAACAGCAAACCTGATGGAACTGACCCTGATATTATAAATATTTTGTTAGTTTTGTCAATGGACTTTATTTTATTTATTTATATGCAGTGCTGAGAATCAAACCCAGTACCTCACACATGCTAGGCAAGCACTTTACCATGGAGCCACAAACCCAGGCCCGAGACCCTGATCTTGTGGACACTGTATTCTAAACACAAATTGTTTGTCAGCTTTGGGAAAACAAAGCATGCTTCCTCATTTTTATGACTAAGTCAGAGACTCTTAAACTCCTTAAACACCATGGCTGTCTCCTGGAAACCTTGAAGTCTAAACCCTTTAAGATGCATATCAGGTTCAACTAAATAATAGTTTAGCAGACTATGATTTCAATATTATAAAGGTATACTCTCGTCCTAAAATTATTTAAGAAACAGATATGAAAAAGATTATATTTTGCCTATTACCTGAAAGGAATTTAGCAAATTAAAGTATAAAAACCACAATGGAACTGCTAAGTAAACATGAATCTTAACCACATGCAAGATTTTCAAATGGAAATCCAGTTTCTGCTTCCCTATAATTTTGGCTGTTGGCCTAACTGTTAAGACTGACTGCTTCTTCTTCTTCTTTTTTAACTTCATTTGCTATAACAATGATCTATAAAATGGATGGAGCACATTGAGTTATCAGAGCCTATTTTCACAGACTTGCCCATCAGCCAAGGTGGGGGGAACAGTTGGAAGAAGTTGCAGTGTTTCTTTCTGGAGAACCCAAGAGGTGGGTGGATTGCAGGCAAAGAGAACATCAAAGTGTATAAATGCAGTGGTCCCTATCTGCTCAGCACTGTCTGTGTGCCAGACGTGGTGCTTAGCACTATTAAAGCCACAATCCCATTTAGTGCTCACCACAACAGGTATGTAAGAGTATTTTCCCCATTTTTTTCAGATGAAGAGACTGAGTCTTAGAGAAGTACTTTACCTATGATCACAGAAGTACTTTACCTATGAGAAATCTGGAATTCAAACTAGTCTTCCCAGAGCTGAGGACTCACCCATGACCCAGTCCCACCTCCTTTAGGAAGAAGGGAGAGGACACTTGTCCTGTGTTCAGGTGGGTTTAGCACATTCCACAGCCCTGGGAACCTTGGCTTTTTAAGGCTTCACTCCACTTTATATTGAACACATTAAAAGCAACCACATCACATTAAACAAAAATCATAGACTACCTATGAATTGACTCACCTTGATTAATTCACATAATGTTACATATAGGCAAGTTGTTAGATGTTCATTAACTTCACTTTTAGTTTTGTTTTCCTGTTTTGGAGCAATTGCCTTTTTTGGGGGGGGGCGGTGTCGTTGTTGGTTTGTTTATTCAACTATTTTCTTAATTCAGGCTCTTGAAAAGCTCAGAAATTCAATCTAGGTAAAGTCCCTATATTCTCTGATGTAAGAGATGGCCCCTTTGTTGTTGTCTTGGAGGGGAGTAACTAATAAGCAAAATCTAAGGGGAAGGGGACTTCAGTTCATGGTATAGACAAGGAAGTGAACTCCCTCTTCCCTATATGCCTGCATGTGTGATATACAGCAGGTACCTACTCAGTGGGATATTGGAAGATGCATGGAAGCACAGGGTGGAAAAGTGGAACTAAATGATCCCTGACGTCCCATCTAGGTCTATATTTGTAAGTTCTTTAAAATAAAACAATGGCACATGATAAACACCTGTATGATTGATTAGCCCACAATGTGGATGATCATCTGTTCCTGCCGTATTTAATTTCCTCACTAATCACAAAAGAGATGAAGGCTTCCAGTCACTAGAGAACAACCAAAGCCTGAACCTTTAAGGACGTGAAGTTAATCACTATAATAATAATAATAATAAATAATATTTAAATGAATTCTATAGGCCAGGTACTATGCTGTATTTACACATACATTATCCTGTTTACTCTTATTATTATTTTTAGTTGTAGTTAGACACAATACCTTAATTTTTTATTTATTTATTTTTATGTGGTACTGAGGATCAAACGCAGTGCCTCACATGTGCTAGGCAAGTGCTCTACCACTGAGCCCCACCCTCAGCCCCTACTGTTTATTATTTATAGTACCTTATGAAGTAGACACTGGTATTGCCCTCCTTGTAGAGATGAGAAAATTGAGATTCAGAGAGGTGGGAAACTTTACAGAGCTCATAAGAAGAGCTGGATTTTGTACCCATTCTACTTGTCACTGAAGTAATTAACCATAATCTCAATCTTCTTTCTGAAATTATTCATGGCAATAGCTAACCTATATTGAGTACGAACTATAATCAGTACTGAAACTAAGCATTTTAGATACATTTTCTGACTTAAAACTCTTAAGGCATGACTTATATGGTTTATAACATTATGAGGTGACACTTCCCTATTTTTAACCTCAATTTACAGAAAAAAAAGAGCTTCATAGAATTTGAGAGAGACAAAGAATCATAGTATTAACATCCTTGATCAAGGTGACCTGAGGTCTGTGTTCTGTCCTACCTTCTCTTCTAAAGTACCTTGGTGTACTAGCTAAAGAATTAATCTGAGGAAGCTGATGGGCTGTATTCCAGCTAGAGAGAAGTCTAAAAGTCATCTAATCTAAGAGTCCCTGAACACGGATTGGGGCGAATACATGAGAAATATCACTGGTCCAAGAATAAATCAGAAAATAATGAGGATGATGTAATGAGTTTTTCCATTAAGTTAGATTTACTCAATATTAAATAAAATAAAATAATTTTATTAATTGTTTAAAAGTTAAAGTAAAATAAGATTAAGAGACAATGTTTTTTTTTTAATGAAATAATGGCAATAAATACTTTTCTTTCCTTATTTGGCAAATATATAGATCACCAAAATTCTTTCTTAGCATGGGTGGGGAACTTCACTGGGTCATGGAATCCAAAAGTCTCTAAACTCATTCCTTGAACAGAAGAGGAAGTTAATGTCCTGAGAAGTGAAAGAACTTGGCCCAGGTCACTTAGCTAGTGTGTAGCTAATCCAGAATCTGAACTCAGGATGTCTTCACTACCACCTTCACTTCAAACACTATTTCAGGTGCAGAAAAACATCCATGCCCCATCCTCTGAGCTCAATCACCAGCTAAAGGCTTCCTCCTATGCCCCATGTATTACCTGAGCCATGTCCCTCGGTGGTAAGCATCCTTGGAAGAACTGTAGTAACATCTCTCTGGGCAGTTGGAGCTGGGTTGACCTTGGCTAATGTCAGAAACCAACATTAAAGATGAGACTTCTCTGAGTGCAGAGAGCTTGTTTCAGAGAATCAAAGGAGCAGTAGAAAAAATGTGAAAGACAATAAATGAAGACAGACACAACCTCAGCTTTCAAACCAAGCTGAACTCCTTCACTGAGGGAGAACACACACTTCAAACTTTTGACAGAGGTAAGAGGCAGTCATCATTGTGACAGTCTAAATATTAATGGAACTAAGAATCACACAAGTGGCCATACCCAAGGCTTTGCATAAAATATTATCTATTCAGTTGCCTATATGTAAGTATTATTATCATATTTTACAGAGGAGGTCACAGAGGTCAAATAACTTTTCTAAGATTATGCAACTAGTACGATGCAGAGTTGGATTGGAACCTGGCCCCATCCGGTTACAAAGTATGTGTCCTATAAATCTTAAAACATACAAGAGCCTGTACCCCTCCCCCAACACACATGCAAAGTCCAGTGGTTCACATCCTGGTTGTATCTGGGGTAGAATCCATGAAAAGCTGATGTTCAGGATTCCATCTCCAGAAATGCTGATTTCTCTGTTTGTGGGTGGGGCCCAAGCATTGTAGTGGTTAAAAAGATCTCTGCAGATGATTTTCTTGTTGTTGTTGTACCAGGGAGAGAACCCAGGGGTGCTTAACCACATCCCAAGCCCTTTTATTTTTGTATTTTGACACAGGGTCTCACTAAGTTGCTTAGGTCCTCATTAAGTTGCTGAGGCCAATCTCAAACTTGCAATCTTCCTGCCTCAGCCTCCCAAATCAGTGGGATTACAGACATGTGCCACCATACCCTAGCTTTTCCAGGTGATTCTAATGAGCAGTTAGGGTATCTAATCACTAATCTAGGCCATCCTCTAGTTCTGTAGATACCATGCAGGACATTCAAAATATATTGGAGGGTGTTAAACATTGCTGGAAATCACAGGTAGGGCTTATTAAACTTTAGGTCTTCAGGGTCCATCCCCAGAACTGTAATTAGGGGACTCAGAGGTAGTAAAAAATCAATGTTTATTGTGTGTGATTAAGATGTGAATCTTAGGCATAGGGAAGGCATGCAAAGATTCCACTCACCTGGCTTGATGATCAACTCCACATTTAGTTTGTAATCATTCATTGGTCCTACAAATTGGATCCGACAACAATAGGTCCCACTGTCAGCTGGAGTCACATTCACTATGGTCAGGGACACATCACCTTTGTGGAAATTCCCCTTTAGCTGGTATCTGCTGGATTTCTGATCTTTCACATTCGTTTCATCAGTGCTGAGCACCAAATCCTTACATCCAAATACAGGACAGGACTCCTTGCCCCAGCACACAGGCACAAGACTCCCTGAAGAGATGGGTTTGTAGTTGCAGGGCAAACTGGCATCCTGACCCACCTCAACTATGTATTCCCCTTCTGAAGACCCTGAAGAAAGAGGGAAGGAGAGCAAGACCCTGAGTAAGGCTAGTTTATTTTAGGAATACAGCAAACAAAGCTCTATAGAATGCAGAGGAGAACACGGCTGATGCCCCCTTTGGAGGATGGTTCACTATGCTAATGTTTGAGCAGCCACAGAATCACCAGGAAGCCTTGTGAAAACATGAATGGGGGACTCCACCACTGCAGTTCCTGGCACAGTTGGTTTGCGGTGGAGTCTGAGAACATGTATTTCTAACAGTTTCCAGGTATCGTGGGTCCTTGACCCTTCCTATCAGAACTCTTTGAGAACTAGGAGAAAACTGTGGACAGTTCTGTGAACATGAGAAGACACAGCTGTTGGAATGGACGAACAGAAAATCTCATTGTCAGTCAGGAACTACTTACTCATCAACCAAGGGTGGCTATCCAAACACAAATCTCTCTTTTTTAAAAAAGGCCCAGGGGCACAGTGAATAAATAGCTTTGGCCAAATAAGAAGCTTGTATATTTGAAGCCACTCACAGGTTGTTTTGAGGTTTTAAACTAATTCCTTTTACAGTACACACACATTTATAGGTTAAAACCTTCAAACAGTATAAAAAGTGCATCAGAAGTCTGACTTCCTCCCCCACCTTTTTCCCATTTCCCAGTTCTCCTCCCTAGAGCCCACATTAAGAAATGGCTAGATATGCCCTCTCCTTCCCAATGCATACACACAAAGAGGAGCCTGCCATACATTATGCTGACCCCTTGGTATTTTCAAAAGCATTGTGATTGAGAATCATTCTATACCAATATATTCAGTCAGGCTTACTGTGTGTGTATCATGAAATATCACATTTATTTACCTACTCCTCCACAGGTGGACATTTAGGTGGCTTCCAAACTTGTACCTCAACAAATGATGTTGTGAGGACCACCTTGCATCTCTTGCTATCTTGCCCTCCGTCCAGCATCATTCTCCAAGGGTAAATACCCACACCACACTTACTTGTAAGAAGCAGCAGCAGCAGCAATAACAGGATACCATGAAAAGAAAGATGTGAAAACATGGGCTCTTCAGAGGAAGAGTCAGAGGATGACTCTGTTTAGGCACAGTTTGAACTCTCCAGATGAACTAAGTGTTTCCTCCAACTGTCTCTTTCCTCCACAATCACATGAATGGAAGCTACTTCTGCTGATTGCCAGACCACACTTGAGGGTGTCTGACTACCAATGATGTCTGTACTGACGCTGCTAAATCTTCAGTCACATCAAAAGAAGCCCCAGTTGTTTGTCATACCACACCCCACATGTCCTGTGAACATGATGATGTTTGTCCTGGTATCTCAACAAAGAGGAAGCAATATTTCAGAGGAACAAAAGTGTTAGTCATAGCCAGTAGAAAGAACCCTCATCTTATTACTTAGGTTAAGTAGGTCCGAAATGGACAGTGTGCAAGTTGGGCTGGTTAACGGGGAATATAAAATGCAGTCAGACGGTTCATGCATTCATTCAGTCAGTGCTCATAAAGCAGGTACTCTATGCAGGCACTGAACTAGGAGCTGGAGACCAGAACAATGGATGGCAACTTCCTTATCCTCACATCCATAGGCAACTGCCAATATGATCATGACCCAGTTCTTGTCCTTGTTCTAACACAAATTCGTTCATGTCCTATACCTTGTTGAATCTGAGCTTCCTCACTTAGAAATTTATAAAATGAATAGGTGATATATGCACAGCTCTCCACTCTAATAGTCTGACTTCGACCTTCAAACTTTCAAACCCTGCCTTTTAGGAAAGTCATATTCCTCTCGGTAATGCTTTTTTACTCCCTGACTTTGGATGGAATTGAGGAGACCGGAGTATTCTATTCCATCTCATGAACACAAGGTACTCTCACTCTCGGGGGGCTTCTGGCATGAACTGCCAGAAAATGTTGTGTTCCAGCCACATGGTTCATTCCTGAGGCAATACCAGCCCCACGTGCCCTCAGCCCTGGGAGAGTGACTTTTATCTGGATACCTTAAAACCCAAAGCTTCTTTACAAAAGGGAAGTGAGCTTACAGACTGAGTGGTTTCTGAAAACACAGTTGGCCTTCCTCTGTGTCTTGCCTTCCTGAATTTCCTCGTCACCTGGATGCCATTAAATTCATTTAATAGAAACATTCAACTTTTTCCGTATATGTACTTAAATAGCATAACAGAGTGGTAGTTGATCATAGTTAATTGCCTCATTTCACACACAAGGAAACTGAGACTCAAGAAAAATTATTTGCCCAAAGGCATGTGATTTATAATTTAGAATAGGAACACAAGTCTCCTAAGCCCCAGACTTTTCCACGTTTGCATCACATTGCATGAATTTAATATTTGTCCTAAATATGCCTGCCCACGTAGTTTACAACAGCCAGAAAACATCCATGTTTAAGCATAGGGCAGAGTGGATAATACATGGGGCTGGGGTGACATATGCACTAGCAGCATGACCTTGGGCAAGGCTTTTAAATGTGTCAGCTCTCAGCTTTTGATTCCTTCTTAAAAGGAATAAGTTTTTTTGCTTATGACTCTATTTTCTATCCATCTCTACAATCGCCATTGAGATCACCTTTATAAAACATTAACAGTTTATTATTTTATTAAAGTCTAGGCATGAAGGCATCTAGAGACCTACTCTAATCCCTTCTCTTTGTGTGTAGAGGCCTGTTCCTGAAAATGTTCACACTCATTCAGTTTTGATTTCTTGGTGATTTTTTTTTTTCTTTTCCTTGAAGCTTGTTTTATTTGCTTGTTTACCTATTTTTGCAGTGCTAGGGATGGAACCCAGGGCTCTGTGCATTCTAGGCAAGCACTCAATCACTGAGCTACAACCCCAGCTGGATTTTTTAACAGACACAATTATATGACATCATGATCAGACTATTACATTTAGTCATCAACAGCATGGGTGCAAGGAAAAAAAATCATCATTAAAGCCCTTGTTCAAATGCTTTACACTTTCCACAAAACAAAAAGAAAATAACCTGCTATACAATTAGTCATAATACAGTCCTCAAGATTTTTTACCCGAACACATGACTATTGTCTAAAATATGACTTATTTGCAACAGCCAGGCCTGCCACTACTGTGCCTAGCTGAGTTATTTCTTTTCCAATTGTTTGAAAAACAATCTAAATCTTCAGTCACAGGGGATTGAACGTGGGAGTGCTCTCCTACTAAACTATCTCCCTGGCCCTTTTTATTTTATTTTGAAACAGGTTGGCCTTGAACTTGCAATCCTCCTACCCTAGTCTCCCAAGTACCTGAGGTTACAGGCAGAATTTTCCTTCCTTTTTAAGCCTGAAATTGGGTCACATTTCTGCTTTCAGTAGGTAAACTCTTGGGTTGCTTCCACCTTTCAACTATTGCAAATAATCTTGTTATGAATATAAGTGTACAAATAACCTACACTGCATCTTTTAATTCTTTGTCAGTCCTGAGAATTGAACCCAAGGCCTTGAGGATGCCAGGTAAGTGAGCTGCAATCCCCGAACCACCCTTTTTAAGTAAAATTTTATTTTTTTTTTTCTTTAGCACTAGAGATTGAATCCAGGGGCACTCTATTTCTGAGCTATATCCCCAGGGTTTTTTGTTGTTGTTGTTGTTGTTTGTTTTGTTTTGTGTGTGTGTGTGTGTGTGTGTGTCTTTGTTTTGTTTTGTTTTGTTTACTTTTTATGTTGAGATCAGTCTTGCTACATTGACCAGGCTGACCTCAAAATTGCAATTCTCCTGCCTCTGGCTCCTGAATCACTGGGATTACAGGTATGCTCCACTGCACTGGGCTGTTATTTAAATTTTGAACAGTGTTTAAGTAATGGTTAGTCTGTTTTCTGTTACTCTAGACTAGGTAACTTATAAAGAAAAGAGGTTTCTCTAGCTCCCAGTTCTGGAGGTTCAAGAGCATGATATCAGCATTGGCTCAGCTCCAATGAGGACATCATGGAAGACGCATCACAATGGTGGGAAAGTGTGAAAGAGGGAGACATCAAATGGCAGACAGGAAGCCAAAAACCAGGTGAGGGGCCAACCTTGCTCTTTTTACAACAATCCCTCTCAAGAACTAACTCAGGGCCTCATGAGAACTACCTCAATCCCTTTTGAGGGGGACAACCCCTGCCACCTCCTCAATTCCCAATAGGCCCCAACCCTTTAAGGCTCATGGTCTCCATACTGGGGATCACACTTACCTATACAAACAACCTCCAAACAATAGCAGGTAATACTTAAGAATGCAAACATCCTTATTTTATTCCTGTTCTCAAAGAAAAAGTTTTAGGTTTTCATCTTGGTTATAATTCATGCTGTAGATTTTTGTGGAGATACCATTTATTATATTAAGAAAATTCTATTCCTAATGTTCTAAGACAGTTTTTTTTTTCTTTTTTATGGATGGATGCTAAATTTTATGTTTTTTGCACATCTGTTAAGATTATTTTTTCTTCTTTAATCTATTATTTTAGTAGATTACATTAAATACTCCTTTGTAATTCTTGAGATTAAAAACATTGACCATAAAATATTATCTTTTTATTTTATTTTTACATATCACTAGGTTCAGTTTGCTAATATTTTGTTTATACTATTAGCCTAATAAAGATAATTGGGAAATACTTGCTAGTTTTTTTGTGCTGAGTCTGTATAAGATTAGAACAATTTTTATTTTGTGTGTGATATGTGTGCGTCTGTATGCAATATTTGACACACTTAACAGTAAAGCTATTTGAACATGAATTTCTCTTTGTGAGAAAATTTGACTACTGATTTGTTTTGTTTTTGGTACTGGGGATTGAACCCAGGGGCACTTAACTATTGAGCCACATCCCCAGTCCTTTTCTGGTCTCATTGGATTGCTTAGGGCCTCATTAAGTTGCTGAGACTGGCTTTGAACTCGCAATCCTCCAGCCTCAGCCTCCTGAGCCACTAGGATTACAAGTATGAGGCCCAGCCTGATTCCTTGTTTTAATCATTAGGAAAACTATTCAGGTTATCTATTCTTAAATTAGTACTGATAATTTTTCTAAGAACTAGTCCACTTTCTTTAAGTTTCCAAATGTATTGGGATAAAGTTATCTATAATATTTTCTTCTTTTTTAAACTGTTTCTTCTATTTATAGTAATGCTTCTTTTACATTTCTGCTATTATTTTTGCTTTCCTCTTTTTTCCTTCATCGCTCTCCCTTGTCAGTAGCAGTGACTCAGAGCTCCACTTAAGTCTCTTGGGTATCCTCACAGTCCTTTCCAAATCAGACTTCTTTACAGATGATTAGCAGGTCTGAGACCTGACTATGTTATGTGCTTGGGGGCAAATGAGTTTTAGAAGGAATCAGGTGGAACTTCTCTTTCATTCTTAGCATTACACTATGAGTATCATAATTACCAGTTAAGGAAACTCAGTTTCCATGGAGGTTAGTATGCCAAATCAAAGCTACATAGCTGAAAAATAGGAAGCCCAAATTCTAGCATTCTGTGGTGTTTTCCACTACGATTTCATGGCTACCAACTAGGCATCTAAAGATTTAAATTAATTCTGACATTAACTACTAAGGGTTAGGGTATCTAATATTAGGGTGTCATAAGCAGTGCCCCTGGGCTTCATTTTAGTCTCCTAGAAAACTGGCTACAGCTTCTTAAACCTGACAGAAGAGTGCCACTCACTGGTAACCTCATCACATTGCAATTTGAAACCAAAATGTCAATAGTCAGCAAAAGACCAGTGAAAATACAGTATACTTGTATCGAGACATCACAATACACCCCGTAAATATATGATTATTTGCCAATTAAAAGTAAAACTTTAAGAAGGGCTAGTAAGGAAGTTATTAACTGATTTTCAATAGCTTTCCAAGTACTGTTCCAGGAACTATGTTAAGTGCTTTGTAGCCATTCTCATTTGATTCTTAGAACAATCCACAGGGCCTAACATATTTACTAACTGGACTGTTACCAAAATAGTTGACTGATTCCTGACTTAGATTAGGAAGATTAGAACTATAAGGACAGCATATCTTTAAGATATAGAAGTCTGAGAATAAGACATGAATTCTTTAATATACAAGAAGGGAACTCATAAATTCCACTTAAAATGTTTCTCTATCAGTTTGGTATCATGTCATATTTACAGATTTGATCGTTACGGTTAACATATTGGATTCCACTCTTGGTTTCTTTACTTATTTACCTATGATTTAGTAGCAGTGTGATGAAACAAGAGAGGTAAATTAAAATGGAGGGTGACTACCAGGCTTTGAAACAGCAATACTTTCTGTTTCTGTGACTTTGGGTAAATTACACAACCTTTCTGAGCCTCCACTTCCTCATCTATAAAATAAGTGTAAAAAATAATAGTTATTTCATTGTGTTGACTCGGGGATAATAAAAACTCAGTATGTAAATGATTAGAATAGTGTTACCAATGTGCTACATGAATGTTTGCAATTGATTTTTCATCAGATTTAGAATATATACTCTCCCTTGGCTTTCTACATGCTGTGCCTCTGCCCTCCAACTGCCTCACTTGTTTCTCTAGCTCCACCTTTTCCCTTACAATATTGCAGCCAAAATGGCCTTTCTTTTTTAATTCCTGAAACTTCCATTCAATATTTCTTATTGGTTCTTTTTAGTTATATATAATATTAGGATTCACTGACATAATTAAAAAGCATAGAATATAATTTATTCTAATTCAGTCCCCAGTACTTCCTCTTTCCTTTCTTTCCCCTCCTCCCTCCCCTATGAT